TAGCCCAATCCACATATATATATATATATATATATATATATATATATATATATATATATATATATATATATAAGAGTCCATATTTAATTAGCCACTTTTTGATGACTAAATTAATTCCAAAATTAATTTTTTATCAACACTAGTTAAATAGTATGGTTTCATATTAATATAGTATAACTTATAATATATTAATATATCATAAACATCTTCTTCTCAAATATAACCATACAAATTGTTAGGTGAAGTGCAACCTAAATGGACCATGTCGGGTCGATTCAAGTTCATTGTAGCACCTGTTCTTGGTATGTATTTTTAAAATAAGTACTTTTGGCATTTTTAGCTAGAACTCGGCGAGCTGTAGGCCCGACTCGCCGAGTTGAGAAGAGATATTGAAAACGTTTAAGTTGGCGAATCGGAGAGTCCATATCCTGGACTCGGTGAGTTTGCCTGTCTGGATGAAACCCTAATTTTAAAGGGTTGCACCCTATTTAAACATCTTTTTGTGCCCCATAACGGCCCCATCACGTCCAGAACACTCCCTCACGAAGCCCTAACCCTCCTTCTAGTAATTTGAGTGCTTTTGGTGCATTTCCTTGAAGTTTTGGGGAAAAGAAAAAGGTTGATCAAGAGGAAATGAAGAAGATCCAGAACCTTGTGCCATTTCAGAGCTTCTAGAGGTATTAGACTTGAAACCCTCTCTGTTCCTTCATTAATATCTCCTTAAGAGCTTAAGATATTCATTTTAAGGCCTCTTTTAGTCTTGATCTTTGAGTAATGAGCTTATAGTGTTAAGGGACTTCAAATCTAGGCATGATTGAGCTATAGGAGCTCGGATCTATTTCCTTTATGAGCCTAACTTATGTATAAGTCCTAGATCTACTCTTCTAGTCCTTGTTAAGCCTCTTATTTCCCTTTTGGTGCATGAATACATGTAAAGTTAGAAACTTTACGTGTAAAACCTACCCTAAGAACCCAAATCTATGAATGGAATGCATTGGACTCAAGCATAATCGAGTATATAGTAATTTCATGCATGCAACTCGGCGAGTCGTTCTTTGGACTCGGCGAGTCGAGTCGCGAGTCCCCATTTTTTCCCCTTTGAGTTACACTAAGTGGGATCAGTGAACTATAACTGGACTCAGTGAGTTGGAAGCTAGACTCTGTAGTGGAGGGACTCGGCGATTCCAAGGCAATCTTCTTGCCTTAAGAACAGACACGACGAGTTGTTCATACAACTCGGCGAGTCACGGACCAGAGTGTTCATCGGATGAAGATGAAGTCGACGAGTTGTTTATACAACTCGACGAGTCGAATGAAGGACTATTGGATATCTATTCAGAAGAAGAACCCGTCGAGTCAATGCCTAACTCGATGAGTAGGGACGAGAGTGAGGACAATCGACTGGATAAGGACTCGAAGAGTTAGCGAGCCAACTAGGCGAGTCGGGTCAATTGGAAGTTGACTTTGACTTTGACTTTTGACTTGGCAGGGGTAAAATGGTCATTTTACGCTAAGGACAGTTAGCAGTGTTTGATTGAGTGTTTCGTGGGAATTAAAGCCGGAGGATTTCGGAGCAGCAGCAGACAGACAGTTCTCATGCAGATCAGTATTCATTACATGTTAACGCCTAAGGGCCTTCTTTTTCCGTCTCGTCCTGGGCATTTAAACGTTCAGGACCGGCCCGGATGTTTTTTGTCGAAAAAAAACAAACATACTATGTTCATAATTTTTCGTTCTCTTACCATAATGATCTTTATTGATTTATAAAAATTGAACTGTTTCTTTTCAAAAAAAAAAACACTTCATTTTCTTTGTTTTTTTAAGTTAAGATATATTCTTTTATTGAAAAAAATTAATAAGTATTTCAAAATTCATACTTTTTAGTATTCTTTAAACATATATTCATATTGATTTAAAAAAAACAAAAATCAAAATTTATGTTTAGATTCACAGTATGAATAATAGTAAGTCACATTCATATTGTGAATTCTGAAAACTAGATTATATTAACAATATGAATAAATTTGTTTATTGATTATACAAAACTAATTTATCAGTAATCAAAATGTTATAATATTATAAAATTACATGGAAACATATTTCTATTCATATGCAAATTTCACTAAATTGATTTGTGAATGATCAAAGAATGGAAATAGTAAGTCAGATTCACATTATTAATCTTAAAATTGAAATATTTACAGTTCAGATTGAGAGTATGAATCTGAACATATCAAGATTTTTTTAATCGATGTTGATGTTTATTAGTAGAAGATAAAAAAATTGAGATTTTGGTATATTTAGCTTTTTTGGGATAAAAATAAATCTAAATACTAAAAAAAAACAATAAAATTAAATGAGTTTTTTCCAAAAAAAAAAGTTTATTTTTTATATATCAATATGGATTTATATGGAAAGAGGATGAAAAATCGTAAACAATGGTATATTCGTTTTTTTCGTTAAAAAAACATGACCAAAAATAAATTTAAACAAAAAAGGATAATTTTTTTATATAATTATGAAGAGGTTTGTTAACCGAGTAATGAAATAAAATCGTAGTACTAAAGAATTATGAACATCGAGAGTAAATATAATCTTATTTCAGCTCAATTATGCTTTCGAATACAGAGAGTGTTTAGACAAAATATCAGGTGAAATATTCTTTCTAACTCTCAGTACAACTCCTAATTATAGGAGAACTAGAAAGCATACAAAAATACAAAGGACTATTACATTTCAGATTCGAAACTCAAAATGCCTTTGTAATAACTTTATAACACTATCGAATATAAACCACCTTCGACACCTTACAATATATTTTGACTCTAACAATCTCCCCCTTTGTAAGCAGTGTCAAAATAAGGTTGTGAAAAGTTGAGCAGCTTGATGTAATACCCTTGTTATCTCTAAATACTAGTTAACAACCTTCTTTATTTCTACTTTCTCTTGTTCACTATTCTTCTCACAATTGTTCATTCTGATCAACAAATTTGTGTAATGCGAAGAAGTGAACCTTTCAACTTCATTAACTTTTTTTTTTGTTAAAGTACCTTTCTTGTTCTTACCAACGAACACATTCCCCAAAGGCTTCAAGCATATCTCCCCATCTTCGTAATCTTTAAGAAAAGACTGATTTTTAATCATTGACTTAGGAACCGAAACTTTCTTTCCCAACATTGAAGCCAAATCAATATCAATGATAGCAACGGCTCCATAATAACCATCAAGGAATACCTTCAAGTGTTCAAAACTTATCATGAAATATTCTTTGTTAATCTGCTACATCTTCGAATAGTCAATTGACTTCAAGATCTTCGCAACAATTAACAGATCATATAGGTTCGTCACTAGAAAATCAGCAATGGAAAAATCAAATATCATATTGTTTTCTCTTACTGCAACATATCTGTAATTTTGTAGAATCCTTCGAACAAAACATCCTTGGTAACATTCATAACTCGATCAATTTTTACCAAATACCATATTGATTCTTCATTTCTTCCCAAAATTGCATGGAATCTATACTTCAACCGTAAATACTCCTCCTTATCCTTGAACTCATTTGCAGGCTCAAATTGCTCATCACAAAACATCATCAGATTTATGGGAAAATCTACCTAATTAATATTCATGTTCTCAATATCATAAATATTCTTAGGAAGCTTGTTAAAATAATGCATCTCACCAGATAGAACCGTGGCTTCTATGTATTCATAGTTGAAATACTTAGCAGGATCTCCTTTGTTCATCCTAGGAGGATCACTCTCTCAGAGTTGAAGTATGCTTTGTATTTGCCTTTGCTTATCCATTTCAAGTTCAGCAACAACCTTTTTCTCTTCTACTGTAGGTTCTTGTAAAATATCCTTACCTTTATTTTGCAACTCTTCTGTGGTAGGAGGTGGTTCCGAACTTGATCCCCCAGCAACTGAACCACCAATAACAATACCTTTCATTATAGGCCTTGTAGTTGTTACTATGTATGTCGAAATAGATGAAGTAGATACCAAAGAAATAGGAATCTGAGTTTAAGAAACCTTTCCCACTACTTTTTCATCTTCATCATTTGTATTTGATGAACTACCACCAGCTCCGAACAATGAACCTTTGCCAACACTAATCCTCTCTCCCCTTGCACCCCTGTTGAAACAGGAGGGGCTTCTATTGGCAAAATAGTCAGCAGTTTGGACAGCAGAGCTAACTCCATTTGAATGGCAGATTAGAGATCATAAAACTTTTGTGTATGAAGCTTCGGAGTGAGCACCGAAGAGGTCACTAAACTTGATTTGAGCACCATCCCTTTCAATTCAACTAACAATTGATTTGTGTTTGTAAAACTTTTAACTTCATCCACAGATATTTGCTCAACCATCAGACTAAGAGCTTCATATAATTTAACAAAATTTATAACAACATCAACTATGATATTAAATTTCTAAATGAGAGAAGCATAATCTTGTTGTACAACTGCAATCTATTTGCTCATATCCTCCCTGAGTTCTTGAAGTTTGAAATTTACATCTTCACGAACTTACTTGACGTCTTGAATAAACAAGATATGTCTTTCCTTCACCGCATCCTTCAAATCTTCTAGGTCCGAAGCAAAAGTTGATAACTATGACCTCACCCTTTTCTCATTGTTACGATCAACGTCTTGAATGAAATCATAAAGACGATTTTATTGATGTTTTAATAACATATCAACCTCCAAACTAGATACCGAATGCTTACCTGCTCCATCAGCTTGAATTTGTAAAAGTGAATTAAGCTTTCAATTAAGAATTTTGAATTGTTTCCCTATAAGAAGTATATTATCTAGAATATTCTCCTCCTCCAGATAAAACTGTATATATCAACAAATGTACCATCGAACTCATTCTCTTCATCATTAGTTTGTGTTTGTTCTTCTTCGAAAGTGACAAGTGGATCGGTGGATTGGGAAGAAAATAAGGAGGTAATCGGTTGATTGAGACTACTATCGAATATGGGTGGGTGGGTAACAATTAGAGTACAAAAAATGTAGGCAATGAATTTGAAGTGTCTAGGGTGGAATTATCGAAGGTAGAAGAAACAACAAGATAAAAAGTACCTTGATCTTGAGAAGTTTCAACAATCGAAACTGGAGGTGTAGTAATCAAAATTTGCCTAGGGGTGGAAGCTTTTTTGTAAACAACAGATGTAGGGATAGGATCAGAAGTCTCAACATTCGATGTTATTGGATAGTCAAGCACTAGTGATTCTGGAGTGTCTTCTTCTTTGGTAGATTCATCATTAATGACCAGCTTGCGAAGTTTCTGCTTCTGATTTCTCATAAAATGTTTGGCCATATCTTCTGCCCTTTGTTTATTTGATATAGGAGAAACAGGATCTTGTACTTCTCTAAAAATAACCACTTTTCGAGTAACTTCAGGTTTAACAGTGTAAGTAGGAGATGATTTACGAGCCTTCTTTTTCAACTTCTTTAAGACACCAGACTTGGATGGTAAAACAGTAGCCTCAGGTTGAGTTACTTCTAGTTTCTTAGCAATAATTGGAGCTGGTTCACTAAATTCGTGCTTCTTTGATTCCTTGACAACTATAGGAGGTAATGATTTTGAAGAACTTTTGACATTCTGCTTTGAAACTTTCTTCGTCTTCGTCTTCAAATGAGATAACAATACTCCAGTTTCAATAATTGGATTAATTGTTTTCAAATGTTGAACCAACATCCGAAGAGGAGGATCAATTTTACGAAGCATCGCATTAGGAATCTGAGCAACCATGGTAAAAACATCCACATCATCCTAAACTGTTTTAGGAAAGTGAAACTGTGAAAATGATGCGGTGTCTTCTTCTGTAGTAACATCGATCCGCTCCTTCTCGTAAGCAAAGTACAATATGATACCCCAGTAGCGAGCATAAGAAATTACGTCCACATCATTAGTGTTCGTAACACTTTTCACAAATTCATTCCATAATTGAGTCGCATAATCCACCTACATATCATAATACAACCCTGCAACCATCATATATACCTCCATCCTTCCCTTGTCTAAACCCATAGTATGGCTAGTGAGACATCGAAGGTAAATCCCAATCAAAAAAATTGCATAAACATGGTAGCCTCGATTTCTTTAATTCACTTATTTTGGTAAGAGGTGGTTGGTAACCCATTTCATTGAACATATACATAATTTGCTAATTGGTTACCTTGTAAAAAGGAGCAGCATTGGGAATTCCCAGAATCTAAGCAAAATTCTTCTTGGATAATCAAAATTTCTTCTCATTCACAAGAGAAAACGTAACCGAATCCAGTTTTTTGTTGTATGTTGCAGTTGATCCAGCAAGAAATAACTAGGAAACTGGTACATCAAAAGCGTCGAACATCATCTTGGATAAAACAATTTTTGAAGAGCGACGATCAAAACCTGCAACTCTTCAGGGTACGCATAAACATCACTAAGAACTTGTAAGTAGGCACTCTATAACTTCGTCAATGGTTACGAAGAAATATCTTTAGTAGTTTGTGATGGATCAGCAACGGTGTTAGGTGCAGCCATGATTAGGGTTTGAAGAACAATGAAGAAGATAGAGTTTTTGTGATTTAGGAATAGTCTGAAATCATAATCGTGGAATAATTGGTTTTTGTCCAAAACTCTTGTCCACTTATTTGATATAATAATCATTAAAAGTTATGTTCAATGTTTCTTCAAGTTTTCTTGTTCGTCTATTCAATACTTGATAGGCAATCGAATTATGAGAATAACCCAAGAATATTCCTTCATTAGCTTTGGAATGAAATTTCAAAAGATTATCTTTGAGATTCATGATAAAACATCTACAACCAAAAACATGAAAGAATTTGACATTAGGTTTTCGATTATTGATAATTTCATAAGGAGTAATGTTGAATCTATGATGAATGAACGATTTATTTTGTGTAAAACATGCAGTTGAGACAGCGCATCCATTTTAGGGTTGGGCGCAGTGCTGATGCAGAGAGGGCATCTCATTGCCTACGCTTCAAAACAGCTAAACCCTCACGAGGCGAACTACCCGACACACGATTTAGAGTTAGGGGCGGTTGTCTTCGTTCTCAATATTTGGCGGCATTACCTCTATGGAGTCCAGTGTACCATTTACAAGGACCTTAAGAGTTTGAGATATCTCATGGACCAGCCGAATCTGAACATGAGGCTACAACGGTGGTTGGACATGGTAAAGGATTATGACTGCGAGATCCGTTATCACCCAAGGAAGGCCAATGTAGTGGCCAATCCGCTTATCCTCAAGGCAGTGCCGATCAGAGATGTTTGTATGAGGATGACGGTGGTGACCCCACTGTTAGAACAGATACGGGAGGCTCAACAGGAGGCTATGAAGGAGGAACATCAGAAGAGCAAACATGTAGTGGGTCAGGTTTCCACCTTCGATTATGATAGTCGGGGATTATTGACACTACACCGTAGGGTGTGGGTACCGTATCACGGGGTTGTGCTTCAGGTTCTGCTGGAGGAGGCATACAAATCCCGATTCTCCATTCATCCCGGGGCGACGAAGATGTATAGAGATCTTCATCTAGACTATTGGTGGCCCTGAACGAAGCGCGATGTGGCATGGTACGTAGAACGATGCTTGACCTGCAGGAAGGTCAAGGTCGAGCATCAGAGACCTCTCGGCAAGATGCAGCCATTGGATATCTCGCTATGGAAATGGGAAGATATCACGATGGATTTTATCACCAAGCTTCCCAGGACCACACGGGGAGTGGATTCTATATGGGTCATCGTGGATCGATTGAACAAAAGCGCCCACTTCATACCGATTCAGGAGATTATCTCGGTAGAGAAGCTGGCCGTTTTCTACATTCGAGAGGTGGTGGCACGGCACGGAGTGCCAGTCTCTGTGATTTTAGATAGAGACGTACTGTTTACTTCCATGTTTTGGAAGAAGTTCCATGATGAGATGGGTACTCGTTTGCATTTCAGCACCGCTTTTCACTCGCAGACAGATGATCAAAGTGAGCGGACCATCCGGACTCTGGAAGATATGTTGTGGGCGTGGGTGTTAGACTTCAGTGGTAGCTGGGATACTTATCTTCCTTTGGCCGAGCTCTCATATAAAAACAACTACCACGCGAGTATTGACCGTCCTCCCTTCGAGATGTTGTACGGGAGAAGGTGCAAGACCCTGATATGTTAGGGCGAAGTTAGCCCAAGGGTCATGGGGAGCACTGAAGTGGTGCTCAAGATGACCGAGAGGATTCAACAGGTACAGAGTAGGCTTCAGACTGCTCAGAGTCGGCAAAAAAGCTATGCCGATAAACGCTGATCATACATGGAGTTCCAGGTCGGAGATAGGGTTCTCCTGAAAGTGTCACCATGGAAGGGCGTCATCCGACTCAGGAAGCGGGGCAAGTTGGGCCCCAGGTACATTGGACCCTTCAGGGTTCTATCCCGGGTGGGCAAGGTGGCATACCGGCTGGACCTACCAGCCGAACTCAGTCAGATCCACAACACCTTCCACGTCTCACTGCTGCGAAAATGCCTAGTGGACGACTCAGTGGTGGTGCCTTTAGAGGATATTTAGGTTGATGACAGCTTGAATTACATTTAGCGGCCAGTAGCAATCCTCGACCGGAAGTCGAAGGACCTAATGAACAAGAGGTTAGAGCCAGTAAAGGTGCAATGGCAGCACCGGAAGGGTTCAGAGTGGACTTGGGAACCGGTAGAAGAGATGAGGGAGCACTATCTCGAGCTTTTCCAAGAGAGAGCGGCAGACTTCGATGACGAAGTCTAAAATAAGTGGTGTAGATTTGTAGCATCTGGTTATTGGTATGTATTTTTAATCTAAGTACTTTTGGGATTTTCAGCTAGAACTTGGCAAGTTGTAGGCCCGACTCGCCGAGTAGATAAGAGATATTGAGCACATTTAAGTTAGCGACTCGGCAAGTCCATATACTGTACTCGGCGAGTCCACCTATCTGGATGAAACCCTAATTTCAAAGGTTTGCACCCTATTTAAACATCTTTTTGTGCCCCATAACGGCCCCATCACATCCATAACACTCCCTCACGAAGCCCTAACCCTTCTTCTAGTAATTTGAGTGCTTTTGGTGCATTTCCTTGAAGTTTCGGAGAAAAGAAAAAAGGTAGATCAATAGGAAAGGAAGAAGATCCAGAACCTTGTGCCATTTCAGAGCTTATAGAGGTATTAGACTTGAAAGCCTCCCTGATCCTTCATTATTATCACCTTAAGAGCTTAAGATAGTCATTTAAAGGCCTCTTTTAGTCTTGATCTTTGAGTAATAAGCTTATAGTGTTAAGGGACTTCAGATCTATGCATGATTAAGCTCTAGGAGCTCGGATCTATTGCCTTTATGAGCCTAACTTGTGTATAAGTCCTAGATATACTCTTCTAGTCCTTGTTAAGCCTCTTATATCCCTTTTGGTGCATGAATACATGTAAAGTTGGAAACTTTACGTCTAAAACATACCCTAAGAACCCAGATCTATGAATGGAATGCATTGGACTCAAGCAGAATCGAGTATATATAAATTACATGCATGCGAGCCGATGAGTCATTCTTCGGACTCGGCGAGTCAAGTCGCGAGTCCCTGTCAAGTCAAGTGAGCTATAAGTTGACTCAGTGAGTCGAAAGCCAGACTTAGTAGTGGAGGGACTCGGCGAGTCAATTCCCTGACTCGGCAAGTCCAAGGCAATCTTCTTGCCTCAAGAACAGACTCCACGAGTTGTTCATACAACTCGGCGAGTCACGAACCAGAGTGTTCATCGGATGAAGATGAACTCGACGAGTTGTTCATATAACTCGGCGAGTCGAATGAAGGACTATTAGATATCTGTTTAGAAGGAGAACTCTTCGACTCAATGCCTAACTCGACGAGTAGGGACGAGAGTGAGGACAATCGACTATATAAGGACTCGACGAGTTAGCGAGCCAACTCAGCGAGTCGGGTCAATTGGAAGTTGACTTTGACTTTGAATTTTTACTTGGTCATGTGTAAAATGGTCATTTTACCATAAGGACAGTTAGCAGTGTTTGATTGAGTGTTTCGTGGGAATTCCAGCAGGAGGATTTTCGGAGCAGCAGTAGCAGACAGACAGTTCCCGTGCAGATCAGCAGCTACTTCGAGGTGAGTTACCTTCCAGTAGCGGTGGGTCTACGGCCACAATGCCGACCCACCAGTAGAGGTTTTGTGTTAGATGATTTTCTTTGTGATATCATCTAGTCTTTGTTATTGCCTGATATGTTATATGCCAGCTTGATGTGTTATAGTAGTAGAGTTTGGTTGTTAGGACCGAAGGGTAGTCAGACACCCCAGATATGTCTGATAGTATGTTATGTTATGATATATGATAGTACTAGTGGTAGGGGTGAAATAGTCCCCAAGGTTCGGTTGTTAAGATCGAAGGTTGGTCGCACCCCAGAATGGTCGTACGGGTAGGTCGGCACCCTAGAATGGTTGTACCGGGTAGGTCGGGCACCCCAAAAATGCCTGACAAGTATGGTATGTTATATGATTGTACTATATGTTACATGACTATATAGTATGTGGTATGTTGGGGGAACTGAATAAGTTTCGTGCTTACAGTTTTCAGTTTGGTTTCAGGTACCTCTTCATCAAAGAGGAATGAGCTGGCGCGGTAGCGACACATCATACACATACACTATATTTCTGCCTTATGAGATTGTTCTGGGATTTGTACT